TTTCATCTATCTTTTCAACCAGTACTGATCACGTGTCTGTCCCCCCACAAAAAAAAAAAAACAAAAAATAAACCCAGAAAAGATGAGTTTTATTTTACCATAGTCTTGTGTGATAGATATTTCCTGTTAATGTTTCATTTTTGTTTTTGGTTCAATTAAACATTTGTTAAGTAGCTGCTATGTATAAGGCATTATGCTAGCTGTTGGTAATATAAAGACAGAAATGAAATAGTCCCTGCCTTCAGGGTGTTTCCTCCTTTTCTTACTTTCTAACATATACACAAGTAAATTAAAAAGCAATTTCTGTTTTTTAAAATTACTGTATTTCACCACATAATTGTGTCACCATGTTTTTAGTCCAGAGTTGGTTTGTAACCTTTTATCGCATAATTGTTGCATAGTATAATTCTGTTTCTCATGCCACTTACAGGGTAAACAGAGCAGCAACGTATTCACCAGTGGCATCTTGATACATATTTATCTCTCTTGCATTGCTAGCAGCAAGCTTAGAGATCTTAGCTCACAGGCATTGTCGGTATTCAGTTTTAACATGTATTTGCAAGTATTCCATGCATCCTAATCTTGCACCAAAGATAGTTTAGTAATAAATGATTTTTAAGTAATACCAAGATACTTTTTAAAAAAAGCTTCACATGATGGTTGCACTCCACTTTTTGGCAAAGATTGGTATGAAAGCTGTGATGATTATGTGATGAAGTATGGTATTTTTTAAAAAAGTTCTACTAATTTTTCTACTTTCTATTTTTCTTACTTTCTAACATACATGCAAGTAACTAAAAAGCAGTTTCTACTTTTAAAATGCTTTAATTATTTTTATAAAAATTACAATTTTTCTGCTTTTTAAAAAATTAATTCTTTAAAATTAATTTTAAAAAATTTAACTTTTTGGGGGCAGGTAGGTGGTACAGTGGATAGAGCTCCAGCCTTGGAGTCAGGAGGACCTGAGTTCAAATGTGACCTCAGACACTTGACACTTACAAGCTGTGTAACCCTGGGCAAGTCACTTAACCCTGATTGCCTCACTAAAAAGCAAAAAAAAAAATTAATTTTTCACAACTCCAAAAGACTCACAAAGGAAAATGCTATCTACATCTGAAGAAAAAACTATGGAGTCTGAATGCATATGGAAGCATACTATTTGCTCTCCTTTTCTTTAGTTGCTTTGTTTTATTGCTTCATTCTCGTGGTTCCTCCCATCAGTTCTAATTCTTTTTTATATCATGACTGATGGGCAAATATCCTTGATATGAATTATGAGTAGAGCCTATATCACATCGCATGCCGTCTTGAGGAGGGGGGAGGAGGAGAGGAGAAAATTCAGAACTCAAAATCTTATGGAAGTGAATGTTGAAGACAAAAAATAAATTATTAAAAAACCAATAAAAAAATTTAGCTTTTCTACTCTTCTTACTTTCTAATATGCACACCAGTAAAGTTACTAAAAAAGCAATTTCAGGAGATTTGGTGGTGTGAAACCATATGTCCTGTATGGGGAGCAGCTGAAAGTTATTCGAATAATTTTTCATTTAATATAGCTTATTGAATGACCAGCATTATGCATTTCAGCAGCATTTTGGTACATGGCTGGTTAATTGAGTATTTCATTCAGTTCATTTCACAAAGCTTTTAAGTGCCTACTATGTGCCAGACGCTGCACTAGGCCCTGGGAATTCAATCAAAACTCCCTTTTTAACATAAAATACTGAAGATCATGGAATGGAAACTTCTCACTCTGGGGAATCATGGCACTTGGGTCCCTATGTTAGCTCTGCCACAGATGATGATGTCCTTCACCCTGCTAGACTTTAGTTTCCTCATCTGTAAAAGTTAAGGGTTTTGACTAGGGAGGGGGATAAGATTTGTATAGAATCTAATAAGTGCCAGGCACTGTACTAAATCCTTTACAATTATTATCTCTTTTGGTCTTCAAAACAACCCTGAGAGGTAGGTGTTTTTATTATCCCCATTTTACAGTTAGGGGAACTGAGGCAAACAGAGATTAAGGTCAGGGTCACATAGCTAGTAAGTATCTGAGGCCAATTTTGAACTCAAGTCTTCCTGACTCCAGTCCCAATGCTTTATCCACAGCACCACCTAGCTGACTAAATGATTCTGAGGTCCCTCCCAGCCCTATATTTTGTGCTCCATCCAAAATGACCATTTTGGCCTTTTTCTGTTTCTCCTTTTCAAAAAACCTTGTTTTTTTAATATTGAATTTTTTTGTTGTTGTTAAATAGGATTTATGTGGTTCCTCTCAAAATTCAATGCTTTCTCTTTGGGAATTATATCTTGGCCTCCCTGTGAAATGGAAAATGTAGACACACATGGCAACATATAATTCTGAGAGCAAGACCTATTCATTGTTCCTTTTAAAAGCAAACAAACAGAAACCCAAGATTCTTCTCTTTCCTCATAAGCTACGTTTTAAATTTATTGAGTATCTTGATCCTACTTATTCTCTGAACAGCTTATATTGTTTTAGTCTCTTTTAGTGAGTTAATTTCATTCTCTCTATATGTAAAAGAAATACTCTTATATGAGTCCCTAGACTGATACTTAGTATATATGCTCAGCCTCAGCTTCACATGATTTGGATGAACTGTTGATGCTCAGAATAACTAACTGTCCATTTCTGTCTATATCTTGTAAAGGCTGAAGATGGCTGAAATTGATTTTTTAAAATTAAAATTTATATGATACTTATTTTCCACTCTATGATAGGGTGTAGGCAGTAGTTCATGTTATAAGAAGAAAACAGAACCTAAATCAGATCAGGAATCTACATCTGATTGCCAACTCTTATTTTTTCTGGAATTAGCTTGCTTTTCTTAGCATTTGTCTATTAAAGGGTTGGGTTTTTGTTTGTTTTTAATGGAGAAAAGAAAGACTGAATACAAAATGATGCAACTCTATGAGACAGAAGAATGATTATATTCTTTTTACAGAAAAACAAATTGAAACTGAGAGTTTGGGTGGTTTGGTCATTGTTATTAAAGTATTTAATTTAGAATTAATTGGAAAAGTTAATTCTATAATCGAAGAGCTTGATTATAACACTGATGTTTCATAGCCTTCAGTAGTGTCATTTTAGTATGCCTGATGAGTGAAAATGTGAATATTGTAATGTAGAGTCTGTCTGACAAGCCATGTGCCCAAGTGGATACAGAGCTTGTTTCAGAGTCTGGAAGATCTGGGTCCAAGTCCTGCTTTTTACTCATACTGGCTCTGTAACTCTGACCATTCTCCTTAATTTATGAGTGTCCCAGGCAACTCTCTTAAGGCCTTTAGTTGCACAGAATGTGCCAGTCTGCACTGGTAGAGGAAGTTACTGAGCAGGCACTCCCTATACTGATTAAATCACAGGTTCAGTTAAGGGAAAAAAATTGCCTAGTGTTTCTCTTTTGATTAATTTTGCTAATCTGAGTGTTTCATGAAGTGATCAGCTTTTATAACACTTAAACGAAAGATATTTACGGTAGTTGATATAGCTATGCTACATTTCTGGTGTTGCAGTAAGTTGAACCTGAATATATGTTCCTATCACAGCTTTCAGAAAGGTTAGTTGGTCTTTTTAACCTTGCCATCAGAATATTAATCCCAGGTAGGTACTGTGTTGGATTTTGAAATAGGCTGCTGGTTTTGCTTTGCTGAAGTGAAAATGCCTGTAGATGATCATTTAGATTAAAAAATTTCACTTCAGATAAAAGTGTTTTAGGAAGACCAAACAGTGAAGATATTTTCATTTATCCACTATTGCAACCCAGTCCTGTTCCTGTCAAGATATCCCTCTGACTCTGCTTGTTATATAGTTTTTGCTTCTGTATTCAGAGTATTAGATAGTTGTAAATTACTTGAGGCATGAACTTATATTTTTTGTGGTTTGTATATGTGTATAAACGTATCTGATTAATAGCCAAAATGTGCTATGTCAGGCCTCCTATAACATATATAAGCTTTCTAGTGAATAGATGACTTGGATTTATCATATACTTTTATTCCATACCTATTAGAACGTGTCTGCCATGATTAATTAACATATATTTCTTTAGCTCTGGGTAAGATGAGAACCTAGTTAATTATATTTAGAATGGTTGATTTAGATAGGACAATTAGCATAGGTATATGATGATGGCTATTTAGAAGCCATATCTTATTGCAGGATTATTTAAATGGAAAACTATATGTAATTAAGCAATGGCCACATTACCATTAATTTATACTAAATCCATTGAATTGTAAAATATTTCCCTTTAATAATTTCTCTGAGAATGATCAATAGTTAATGGTTTGGACAGTGCTATTTAATCTTTTAAATGAGGAAGCACATAAATTGGAATTTTTGTGAAGTAGATATTAAAAATGTACACGGATTGGGTGGCTTTTTGAATATAACCATGGGGACTTAGCTGCCTAAAACACTGATTTAAAAGTTATATAAATAATTCTTAGAGTTATAATATTTTATGTGACAGAACTTCAGTATTTTATATTTACTTTATCTACCCTAAGATTTTATGCATAAGAATTTAATTTTATCAGTCAGCACTGTGTTTTCTTTTTTAAAGTATTTGAATAATAAAATTAATTTAAAAATTAAAACTATTAATTTCTCCTTGGTTCCTAGATTGAAAGTTTTTTCTGCTTAGTTTTCCATTTTGAAAATTTCAAAAGTAAGGGAGAGATGTTGACCTAGGATATTGGTAAAGGGAACTGGAGTTTTTCAAATTTCCTAGTACAAGCCAATTGACCTTTAGAGTTTAGAAATTTAATATATTATTCAGTAATTAATGGGAGGATTAAAAAAGAGTAACCTTGTTAAGAAAATACTTTATATTAAAGGAGAAAAAGTATAATCTTTATTGCAAAAGCTCATATAGTTAGAAGATTTAATTTGTTTTTGTCCGTGGTAGTTAGAATCATTTTTTTCCCCAGGTAGTATTCTTATTCTAACTAGATTATCTTCTTTTGTTATGGTGAAGTTCTAGGTACTTTGGAATGGTGGATATTTTTCTGAAATATGGAGTCCAACTAAATGAAATGCATTTGGCATACTGTCTGAAGTATGAGAGGTTTTCAATATTTCGGTACTTCTTGAAGAAAGGCTGCCCATTGGAAACATGGAACCATTTGTCTGAGTTTATAAAGCATGCAGTTAAAGCACAAGCAAAGTACAAAGAATGGCTGCCATCTCTCCTATTAGCAGGATTTGACCCCGTTAATCTACTCTGCAGTTATTGGTAAGGAATAAGCAGGGGCCTCCCAGCCTTTGGGGAGGAACAGTGTTTCATTTCCCCAAAGCTTCCAGATCAATTAATGTTGGGGCAATCTGATGGGAAAAAAAGGGGGAGGAAGAATGACCAAGAGCCTCAGTGAGATGCCTATGAAATTTGGGGGAGTGGGTAGTCTGTGGTGGCAGCTTTGGGCCATGGACTCCTTCCTTGGAAATGACTTCAGGAGAGGGCATAATGATTTGATCTACCATTATTGACCATTTAGAGATCCCTGCCTTATAGTCTTACATTTTTGGTACTTAATAAGGGACAAATACCAATCTCTGAAGTAGTTGATCACTTACAGAATGTTGTTATAAGTATTCATTGTACTATGTAGTTATTCAGGGACTACTAAGGTATTTAAGACTTTTTGTACCTGCCCTAAATTACTTTTTGTGCTTTTGTGGTTATGATTCTTTTCTCTCTGTCAGGTGTTATTTGTCAGTTGGTCTGCTTTTAGCAACACACCCTGGTTCTTGTTTACCCAGTTGAGGAACAGCATTAATAAACATCTCTGAGGGCAGTGGTCTCCAGAATGTATTCCTTGGCCTGGACAGGGTGTTAGTCAATTTGCAGGAGGCAAGCAAAGGGGTCTAATCTATTTTAGGGCTGCTTAAAGAAGGAGGGAAAGTCTTTTGGGAGAGGCAACCAACCAACCAATCAGTCAGTCAGTCAGTAAGCATTTATTTTACACCATCTGTGTGCCAGGCTTTGTTAAGAATTGGGGATAGAAATACCAAAATGTCTGGCCTCAAGGAACTTGCATTCTATTGGAGGGAGATAGCATATAGAAGTCTGCATGAATAAGTAGGAGGTAATTTTTTTGTTTTGTTTTGGAGGGAGCACTGGCAGCTGGGGGGATCAGGAAGAGTTTCATGTAGGTATTGGTTTAGTGGGATTTTGAAGGACATAAGAATTCTAAGAAATGGAGATGAGGTGGAAGTGCATTCGAAGTGGGGAGGATAGACAGTAAAAATGCTCCAGTGAGGACCATTCCATCCAGGAGATGAAATATATATGAAGAATAGCAAAAAGACCAGTTTGGTTAGACCTGAACTGAGGAGAAGAGTGTAGTAATATATAATAAGTTTGGAAAGGTAGGTTGGGGCCAGGTTGTGAAAGGCTACAAAAGTTACAGAGGTGTTCATATTTGATCCTAGAGGCAGTAAAGAGCTATTAGAGTTTACTTAAGCGAGTAGCATGATTAGATTTCTATTTTAGGAAAATTACTTAAACAGCTTTGTGGAAGATGAATTAGAGATGGGAGGAACCTGAGGCTGCATATATTTTCAAGCATCAAAGCTAAATAAAAGAATTCTTTTCATATTTTTGTTTTTATTTATTACTAATATTGTAATAGTATTTTGACTACCATTTTTCATTACAAAAGTCCAGAGAGTCTTGTAATGATACCTCATCGTGGCATGGGTAAGAATTTAGGGCAATGGTTTGTCCAAAAAAATACTTGTAGGTTTAGTTGACTGCAATAAGTATGATGTGGTAACTCCTGAAGTTAATGTAATTGGGCTTTATTAAGAGGGGCATAGCTTCTAGGAATAAGGAAGTGATGGTTTGTCCGTATTCTGCCCTAGTCAGACTGCATCTGGAATATTGTGTTCAGTTCTGAAAATGAAGTTTGAAAGAGACATTGATAAGCTGGAGAGCATCTAGAGGAGGGCAGTCGAGATGATAAAGGGCCTTGGGTACATGATATATGAGAATCAGTTGAAAGAATTGGGGGATGTTGAACCAGGAGAAGAGCAGACAGAGAGGATATGACTACCGTCTTCAGTTATTTGAAGGTCTGCCAGGTAGAAGAGGGATTAGACTTAAAAGGAAAAAAAAAAAACAGGTTCAGGATGGAAAGGAAATTGCAAATGGATTTGTTTAGGCTTGATATCAGGAGAAGCTTCCTAAGAATTAGAGCTATCTAAAAGAGATCCTATACTAGCTGTGTGACCCTGGGCAAGTCACTTAACCCTAATTGCCTCACCAAAACAAACGAACAAACAAAAAATTAAAAATAAAAGAGATCCTGCCCCAATGTGGTGATGGTTCTCCCTTCATGGAGATTTTCAAAAAGATACTGGACGATCTCTTATCAAGGATGTTATAGCTGGAAGTCCTTTTGGGTATGGTTTGGCCTTGATAACTGCTGAGCTCTTTTCTGAGTCTTGTATTTCATGATTCTCTGAATAGGTAGAGAAATTCCAAAGATCTCAATAAGAGCTTTCAAATTAAACCAACATATATGTTGCCATTCAAAGACTTCAAAGACTTAGTCCAGGACCTGAAGTTTAGACATTAAATCCTCACCTTCAGAACCCAACCTAACACTTTTGCCTCAGATGCCAGACTCCTTACCCTCAACAGGCCTCTACCTTATGGATTCTTTTTAGGACAAAAGACTCAGATACTCATTTCATTTTCACCTTTGTATTTCCAGTGCTTAACATGGTGCATGGTGTATAATAGGCACTTATAATGAGTATCTTAGGATCATGTATCTCAGGTTGCAAGGTACTTCAGTAGCCATGATCTTTGGTTGATTGATTTAATGAAAAGATGAGAACCAATGAGGATGGTGTTGGAAATGTGGGAGACTTATTTTTCATGAAAATTTTCTTTAAGAAAAGCTTCAGAAGGTTCTGGATATTGTGAACACCTAATAACCTAATGAACACCTACCTCCCCCCCAAAAAAAAATTGATTATATTTTAACAGACAAGAAGTGACTCATTCCTAATTTGTGAGTCATTCCATAAATCAGCTATCTGTGTACAGTTAGACCATTAATATTTTAGCACAGTGAACAAAATTAATAGAAAGCTAGAAGAAAGAATACAATGAGAACAAAACATGGCTTTCAAGTAAAACAACTTCAGTCTGACACTGTGAAAAATAAGATACTAATGATTAAAAATACATCAGCATCAATTACTAAATTTTATAAAGTTTAACCAATGTAAATTAAATTTAACGTAATCAGATGAGTAGACTAAAAGAACATGTAAAGGACCTAGTTATTAAACTAACTTGCCAAACTAGGAAGTATGGTGGTAAAGGGCAATTCCAGTTTAAAATATGAGCTTGTCTTTAAAATCTTATGGAGATGATCAATCAATGAGCATTCATTAAACTCTTTCTGAGTGTCAGGCACTGTGCTAAGCACTGGGGATAGAAATTCAAAGAGTGAAACAATTCTTCCTTCCAAGCAGTTTACATTATCTATTGGGATGCAACAGATACTGATTTTGAGCATCAGTTCTTTACTTTAGAAAAGAATGAAAGAAAAGCAGTGGAGGGTAAAGTCAATTTTAACAGTTTGAAGAAAGCTTGTTTAGAGACTCGACTAAACTAAGCCATCCTAAGGACATTTATCAGCATGATTTTTTTAAAAACAAATTATTCTTACCATCAAGGACAGTAGAGCCACCATAGTTGAATTCTACTATCATAGTTCTGGACAGGCTTATTGAGAAGCTGAAAATGGCATTGAAGATAATAAAGATGAAAAAAGAAGACAGCTAAATGAGACCAAGTATACACAGAGGAGAACTGTGCTGGAGGTAACACATTTGTGAAGTCACTGAAGGATTGATTTTCAAGATGTCTGAAAAAAGGAGAAATTTCGAATAGTGGAAAAAAAAATCTCTAACTTTAATTTTCCCCTACCCTCTGTAAAGGCTACTGAAAGAACACTGGTAATTATCAGCTGATGATATATGCCTATTTAATCACCTATAACAAAATTTAATAAGAACAATACTATATATACATAGAGGGAATCCTCAATAAGGGTATTAGCAAACCTTTGCCTAGTGATAGTCCATAGTAGACTACGTCTTTAGCCTCAAACAATTGAATGATAAGTATAGAAAATATGTAATCCCACTGTTTGTTTTATTGGTTATTGACCTTTAAAACCCCCCTGCTGGATTTAGTAAAGAAAATGACACTTTGAAGACTATCTATCTTTCAATACGATGTCTCCCATTCATGAATTAAAAATATACAAGATTCAAATCTGCCCTCAGACACTTGACACTTACTAGCTGTGTAACCCTGGGCAAGTCTTACCAAAAAGCAAAGGAAAAAAAATTGTGTGTACACACACAGTCTCACACACACACACACACACACACACACACACAAGTTTCCTTGAAACATATAACAATAGAGACAACCCTCATTGATGACTCTGGTTATTAACATCACGCAAAGCATGAAAGAGACCTTCATATTTGCCAATGGTATTCACCACTGTCATATAAGAGATCCAATGTATTTTTATTTTTTTATTTAAAATTTTTTTTTCCATATGCTTTTGAGTTGAAAATTTTTCTCCCTTTTCTTCCCCGCCACCCTCCCCAAGACGACGCACAATCTGACATAGGCTTTACATTTACATACCCATTAAACATATTTTCACATTAGTGAAGTTGTAAGTAAAAATTAAAACCAATAGGAGGAACCATCAGAAAGATGAAACAAAACTCAACAGAAGGTAAAAATAAGTGAGAGCGATTCGACTTCCATAGTTCTTTCTTTGGATGTGGACAGCATTTTCCATCCCGAGGCCTCTGGAGATGTCTTAGATCCTTGTAATGCTGAGAAGGGTTCAGTTTAACATTCTTACTCATTGCATAATGTGGCTGTTATTGTGTACAAAGTCCTCTTGGTTCTGCTCACTTCACTCAGCATCAGACCATATAAGTCTTTCCAGGTTTTTCTGAAGTCAAGTACAATAGTATTCCATTACATTCATATACCACAACTTGCTCAGTCATTCCCCAATTGATGGGCATCCTCTCAATTTCCAATTCTTTGCCACCACAAAAAGAGCTGCTATGAATATTTTTGTACATGTGGGTCCTTTTCCCATTTGTTTGATCTCTTTGGGATATAGCCCTAGAAGTGCTATTGCTGGATCAAAGGGTATGCACATTTTTGTAGCCCTTTGG